AAAAAAAAAAAAGAAAAAAGAAAAAAATCAATGAGAGCAATGGACAACGTGCGTTTGAAAGGCAATGTTTCAAAGTGTCAGGGGCTTAGTTTTCAATCTTCACCACCAGAACTTGCAGTGAGTGCAATATGTGGCGAGTTTTAGGGAATTAAAGGGAAAGCTCGCTCGCAGAAGACCCCTGCGACTCCAGGAACAGGCCCTCCTCCCCCCCTCTTTTTTTCCCGATCTTATTCGGGGCAGCACCCATTCAGTCATTTTGTGCTAGTGACACAGTCATGCTCACCGTGCCAAGTGACGCTAACAGGTATTTCAAGCAAATAACATCACTCAGCCACTTGCTCAAAGACAGAGGTAACCACAGGTGCTCATCGTCGATGACTTCCAAACATAACCTTAGAAAAACATTTCATAACCTCCTGGCCAGTCTGACATTTCGTGGTCAGGCACAATAAAAATAGGAATTAAAAATAAATGTATTCTAAAAACACAATTTTGTCCTTGAAGGCTGACTCCCAGTGATTAAAGCATTTTTATTAATTATTGTAAGTATTTATATGTAATCTACTATGCTTCCAGGAATGCAGATCCAACTGTCAAAATCTATAAGGGCCCGTTAAATATTTACCAAACCATCTTTATAATGGGAGAAAAGGTCAAAGTTAATAAAACTGACAGGCAGCTTCTGTCCAACTTGATTTATACTTTAAAAAAATGCCTTTTTTTTTTTTTTTTGGAAGCAGGGATGTTAACTGAAAGATTGGGAAATTTTTTTCTTAATCGTTTGTTCTGAGGAACAGAAAAAAACACTGAAAATATTTCCAGAGCAGTACTAGTAGTATCAAAAATACAGCCAGGCGATTCAAAAAGGTACTGATGGATAATAAACAGTGCATATAGTTCATTTTTCCACTTGCAAAATAAACACGCTTGCCTGCCAGTGTCAGTCATAATGACAGATGTTGGCCAAAAACATACCAAACTATCACCTCATAAAATTTGTGCTTACCAACAGAAGAACACTATATTTCCAAACCTTTTATCTTCAGCACATGAAGCGTGCTGTCAAAGGACATCACGGGTACTAAAAAGCTCATGCGGGTACAAGGGAAACTAAGACACGCTCATGGGAGATAAATCCTTTGCGGGTCAGCAAACACCCAGAAACCACATTTGCCTGAAGAAGTCCCTGCGTCGGAGGCTGCCGATGGCAGGAAGAAGGCTGGGGAGAATATTGTACACGCCCATCCTGTTTTTCTAGTCTTCCATAACCATCTCTTCATAGCCACTATCCGCCATCAGATATTGGGCTAGACATTGGTTTGACCTGGTCGAGCTGTTCTTAGGCATCTAAAAGACCCAACGCAGCCAAACGCTGGGCACCTGCGGGACAGAGCTTCCTGCAGGATGGTCACAACACCACATTACTGGCTTCCAAAACGGTCAACAGCACTAGCTTTATCCATAAAATACTTACTGAACTTGAGTATCGGCACATGAGGCAGTACTGTAAATCATTTATTTATCAGCCACTAAGGAATCCCCCATCATTCAGCAGCTTTATTACAGCAAGATACCCACGTCTTCCAGCTGTGGGGAATTCCGACAGGTTTATGAGCAGCTAAGCTTTTTACTTCCTAATGAAATATTCCTCTGTAAAACTTCAGCAAGATTGATCCTTTTCCCCCCAATACATGCAGATGAAACATAAAAGCTTTTTTCAGAAAATGAAGAAATAAAAAACAGAAAAAAAATCGATTTATAACACTTAGCAGCTAGGTTATACACCAGTGCCAACTTGTACAAGTTTTATGATGAGTCTCATGATAGCTGATATTTTTCTTAAAACTGGAGAGGAGAGTCACACATCAAGCAGATGTGTGAATTTCACATTTTAAAATCAAAAGATTTTAGTTCTCATGGATGTAGGAAGATTACTGAAAATAACACCTGAATACATACTAAAGCTTTACCGGAAGGTAAATAAAAACAGAACTCAGATTACTTTTAAATGTCATTATTTTTGAGATTCATGATTTTTCTGTTTGCTAATGGTAACATAGCCTATATTTTTTCAAGATGAAAAGATTAGCGGTTATGTTTTCCAGGTGCCAAAATCTATACTTTCAGGACATACCTGAGTATACAAAAACTACATTCAGATAATAATGGTTCCCAAACTTTCCTCATAAAGTGAACTATATTGTAATAGAGATACCACTTTGCAGTCCTTTTCTTTCAGTTGTAGGAGAGTAATTTCTTCATTCACATAAAACATTCATTTGTTTTCACAAGTTCAATTTAATTTAAACAGAGATGGAGTAACAGAAAAATACAGTAGGATTTAGTTCCGTAAGCATTACGATTTAATGAAAGCTATTCACATAATATCTTCTATTTATTATATCATGATGACTCTTATTTCCAAAACAAGGCAATCCATCCCCCCCACCACACACATGCACAATCACACTGTCTTCTTCAGATGACCATTACACTTTGGAATAGACAGAGACTTTCCACTACAGTCTATCTGCTAATCAAAGAGTTTAAACTGTAACACAGCCCATTAAGGCTCCTTCCTTCAATAGGAACGCACTGATATCAAGTTGACAGACTACCTTTTAGCCAACACGATTAATCTACAACGTACGTTATGAATCTACATACATGTGCTAAGTAAATGCTAACTTAAACCTTTTCAAATTAAAGCTTCATTGTTAGACTCACGTCATGTCTAAAGGTCTTTTGCTCACATAATTCATGCACTGGAGATTTTGCGTGTGTTGACTGCTGACCAAACAAGTCCTTACACTCCACTTACTTACAAGGCCATTTAAAGTTGCAGGGGGAGAAGAAAGAAGGGAGCGGGGAAAAAAAATAAAAAAGAAAAGAATCACTTGTAGCATTTACGAGTGATCATGTCAACTCACAGTTGCACGTTACATTTACATATTAATATTATTTAAAGCTTTTTAAGCACCAATTAGTTTGCTTTAAAAAGTGAAATTAGAAGACTCTTGTTTTTGACCACGTTATTCCACAGTGGTATTTTTTCCACAAACACTTTCATTTAAATATTACAGACCACACATAAACAGAAAGGGGTTTTCTCAGAACTAGCTAACGCAAAAAAATTGCTTATTTCCTTTTCTTGGAGAAATGCAGTTTTACGGAAGCGGCTAACAGATACTTCTCCATCATGGAATTTTCCAGGTTCACTATAATACTGGAAAATGCATACACATTTCCCTTCCTTTAAGATGCATAGTACTGTGCCCCTCATCATTAAATTATTTCTCCCTTTCAGCTAACAAGGAATTCATCTATTATGATAAAACTCTGGTAGTTCTTTTGAACAGAGCCATGAGCAAGCAAACAGGACACTCCCCCAGTTTCATCTCTGCAGACTAAAGTAGGCAAGAAAAAATTACACTACTTTAATTGATTTTTTTTTTAAGCTTGTCTCAGATAATGAGGCCAGTTTGGAAAAAATCTCTTTTTTCTAAACAACGTTTGATCATTTTGGGGTAGCTGAATTCTCGACTTGGTCAAAACAGCATCAATAAACCAAAAGAGCAGAATCTCCAATTATTTACTCATTGGCTTTCCTCTTGTGTAGCTAGGTTGCCGGCTTTTCAATTAATAGGAAAGCTAAACATTATGCCTTTGCTCTAGTTTACAACTTAATTAGGACACTTTATT